AACAATTCCTGCCCTTCGTATTGGGCAGTCCCCTTAACTCCGCTGTCCATGCCAACCTCTTCATGAGGGGGAGTGATGATAGTGTGTTCTCACTGTCATGATGATCTCACGCCGGGGAACTGCCAATCTCACGCTCCACTCTGGCACGGTGAGAAGGTCTCCAGCCTTTCTTTACGTGCACTGTATAGCAAGAGTTGAGCTTAACGTCAGTTAGAGCAGCAGTTTTCAACCCGTGGGGTCTCAACACCCTCTGGGGTCCCATATCAGATATCCTGCATATCATATATTTACATTATATTTCATAACAGTAGCAAAATTACAGTTATGAAGTAGCAACAAAATAATGTTATGGTTGTAGGGGGGGTCACCACAACATGAGGGACTGTATTAAAGGGTCACAGCACTAGGAAGGTTGAGAACCACTGAGTTAGAGGCTCCATCTTTTGCTTGGTTGTTTCATTTAGTCTTTGCAGTACTCCTTGGAAACAGGTACTGAAATTGTCACCCTGTTTACAAAGAAGGAAACTGAGGTTCAAAGCTTAACATGAAAGACTTGAAGCCCTTTCTCCTAATTATGGGGGTTTGAGCTGAAGCTTGAGCCTACACAGCATGGCTTCAGAATCCAAGGCTTACATTCTCATTTCCCCTCTTTTCCATCCAGTCCTTTCAGGAGCTCATTAATCATGAGAATAATTCCCTAAATGAGATACAACTGTGTATTCACCAGAACGGGCGAGGAAAGACTGAAAAAATGCCAACCTGGTGGCAAGGATGGGAACCTTCAAGCATTGCCGACAAGTGCATATATTCATATACTTACTGGGAAAACTTTTTGCTATTCCCACTAAAACTGAACCTACGCATTTACTATGACTCAGAAATTTCACATTCAGGTGTAGGTAGAACTACCTATCTTAATTACTCTTCCCATTGCCATGACTCAGTGCCCACAGGAAGCGGCTTAGGGAGGAAGGGCTGATTTGGGCTTACAGTTTGCAGGGGTGCGCTCCATCGTGATGGGGAAGGCCTGGTCGCGGGAGTGTAAAGGAGCTGCCCCTTCACAACAATGAAGCAGAGAAGTGGAGCTGGCTGGAAAACCTGAAAGCCCGGCCATAGCAACCCTCTCTCTCCACTAGGTCTCCACCTCCTAAGGGATCCACAGCCTTCCAAAACAGCACCACCAGCCGGGCACCAAGTGTTCAAACACACGAGTCTACGAGGGACATTTTACATTGGAGGTACATGACACAGGAGAATAGATCCACATGTTCAACAAATAACATACGGCACCTTCTTGGAATATGACATGTTTTAGGAACAAGTTTGCACAGGTTTTTTTTTTTTTTTTTGGTTTTTGTTGTCGTTTGTTTGTTCGTTTGGTATGTGTATCTGTGCCTACTTGTGCTGATACCTGTGGAGGCCAGAAGAGGGTGTCCGATCCCTTGGAGCTGGGGTTACAGGTGGTTGTGAGCTGCTGGACACGGTGCAAGGAACCAAATTCTGGTCCTCGGCAAAAGCCACAAGTGCTCCTAACTGCTGATCCATTATCTCCTTCCCGATGTTGGTTCTTAACATAAACTTTAGTGTTAGCCATAGCATGAAACACCACCCACTAATGAGAAAAAAAAATGATGTATAAGTACATGCTAGAATATGGGTTAATCTCCCACATAATTGAGCGAAGATTGAAGAAGCTAAAGACAGAAGGACTGCACACTGTATGTTTTCACATATGAAGAAATAAAGAGCAGAACAGGCAAAATGCATCCAGGTTCATCTGAAAGAAGGTGTTGTTTAGTCTGGTGGCTAACGGAGGAAACACCTGGGAAGTACATGAAGGATGCTGGTTAAAGTTGTTTTTCTTGATCTGGGCGCTCGTCAAGTAGCTAGCACTTCGAAAATGTGTTTCAAGTTTATGATATGTATTTTTGGCTTCGCTTCCATAGTATCGTCCAATAAAGTATCTAGAAATATATTTCTTACGTTTCTGATCACTTTGTGAAAATAAAATCTCCATGTGGGTCTGGCTGGCCTTTAGCATTTCTCATACTGGCTCACCCAGAGGAGTGCATTCCAGGATTGGAGGCTTCAGCAAGTAACAGTATCCAACCTGAATTGTTTTTATTGTGTTTATTTTTATGGTTACCATCTGTATATGGCTATCCTTACTGGGTTTCCATTTATGGTAATGATATAGAGTTTCCATTTAAAATAGCCTCAAGTGAAGGAAAAGCAAATTGACTTACATTAAAAATTATGTAACTAATAGTACAGATGGTACGCAGAGGGTGGAGTTTGTACAATACTATTTAATGGAAAGAAAGCAGGGATTAAAAGGGAGAAAGCCAGTCTCAGCTTGTCTCCATCTCTTAACTAGTCCACACTGCCCAACAAAGACAGGCTGTCGAACTGAAGAACGTGTCGTTTATAGAGGCTTTGTGAGAAACTTAAAGTGAGAAATGGTCCAGGAACAATGGTTAAAGCAAGAGTCTAGGAGTCTCTCGACTTTTGGTTCACTCAACAAATATGATTATTGAAGCTGTGGGTACCAGGCACTGGTGTGGGCCCTGGGCCTCGGACAAAGCAGCCAAGACCCAGAAAAGCTAACAAGTTGATTTGACACATGGTCAAGCCTCTTCCCATATCTAGGTTTCAGCGGATTCAAGCATAGCTCAGTTCAAATACAGAAGTGCTAAAAACATTTGAGGGCTTGGAACTGCAGTTCTAGCTCTGAAAGCTGAGTCAGTCTTCAGGGGAAGTAGAAAAAGTTTGTACTCACATGGGGGTTTCTGAATAATGAGAGAAGAGAGGCTGTGTTCCCAAGTGTGACTGTAACCGGCCCACGAACTCACGACCGTGACTGTGCCCACAGAAGATAAAGAATGCATAAGCTTAGTGCACACATCCTATATAGATCTTCATTAGCTGCTTCTCTGTACAGAGCAACTGTTCCTCCTTTCCACAGGCCAGCAGATGAGGGGTGAGGACCATCAAAGTTCACCTTCCTAGGTAGCAGGTTAAGATGTGTAGAAGTCCTGTTCTGCAACCCCTTCCCTTCCCTTCCCTCTCTCTCTCTCTCTCTCTCTCTCTCTCTCTCTCTCTCTCTCTCCTTCTCTCTCTCTTTTGGATAGGATCTTGTTAAGCAGTGCAGGCTGACCCTGAACATGGGATTTTTCTTTCTGCTTCAGCCTCCAGGTCCTGCAAAGGCAAGGGTGCACCAGAAGACCCCATATGTCCTGCTTCCACAACGGCTGCTGACTCCTTTTGAAAAACAACAACAACAGCAACAAACCAAAATCTGTTAATGCAGAGACCTGTGTTAGCAGTTTTTCTGGAGTAGGACATGGAGGTTATGGGGTTAGTGAAGGACTGAGATAAGGTTTTCCGGGGTGTGAGTGTCTGGGGTTGTGCAGGGGAAAGCTGATTATTAACTGGGGGCTAGGGGAAAGGAATCAGTAGTGATTGCACTCTACAGAAAGAGAAATTCTAGAAATTCACAGTGGCTCATGCCTGTGATCTCAGCACTTTGGAGCCCAAGGTGGGAGGATTGTGAGTCCAGGGTTGTCTCGGGATGTGCATGGATAATATTGCCTTCAATTTTTTTTCATATTCATTACTGAATAGACATACTATTTTGAATAAAAATAATTCAAGCATATTATTAAAACAGATGCCACTCATTTCTTTTTACCATTTTTTGTTTTGCTTTTCTTTTCAGAGACTCTGTTTCTCTGTGTAACCCTCCCTGTCTGTCCTGGAACTTGCTCCGTAGAGCAGGCTGGCCTCTAACTGAAGGATCTGCCTGACTCTGCTGCCCAAGTGCTGGGATTAAAGGTGTGTGCCACCACACCTGGCTACTAGGAAATTTAGGTAGCAATGTGGCTCCCACTTGCAGTTTGCGACGGATGTCTATGACACAGCACAGTGCAGACACTGGTACCTGATGCTGTCTCTACTCTCAGGGAGTACTCACTCGGTGGGTGAGGCCAATAGGAACATATTTCAAGGCAGGTGCAAGACACCGGCACACGTGGAGATGATGTGAACGGGAGCCTGCACCAGCCTTTGTCGTTTCCTTCTGTAAGGTCTTCATTCTACGTAGATCCCATATTGTCTGAGGTCCGTTCCTCTGCTCAAACGCTGGTGCTGCGTCCCTGGCACGCCCCTCCCCGAGCTAAGCCAAATCTCAGCACAATCAACTGATTTTCCTGCCAGTTCCCCCATCTCCCCAGGGGTTTTGATCTGTGGCCAAAGTGATTTTCGAATCCCAGCCTCACTCTTCCCTTTCTGCGTCCTCCTTTCCGCTGGTCCTCGTGTTGTGAGTGCCCCAGGGCTAAACTTCCGTTTCCCTCTCTGGAGTCTCCAAGCTTTAATCTCGAAAGCGTCCCCCTTCTCTTCCATCTGAATAGTACACTTCCACAAAGGCTCCCACGATGGCCAGACTCTTCCCCCATAACGCTTTGTCTCCTAGTTTCTTATGGTTAGAAATTTGCCTTCTAGAAAGCATGAAACTCACCGCTGGGGCCAGGCAGACACATGAGCAAATCGCTGCTGAACTGATAGACTCTGAGCCTGAAAGTTAGAAAGGACGGCTTGGAGAAGTCTTGCCGGGGGACGGTAGACGCCTCACTGAGCGAACGTCTTTGTTAAAGGTCGCAACCCTGGGAAATGAGTGAATAATTAAGGTTCTGTCCAGGCTGGAGTGCTGGAGGTTTGGGCAGCTAGGCTGGGTGACTCAGCCAGCCAGAACAACGGAGGCAGCCACATTTTGTCATCTGTATTACCTGAGCGAGCTCTAACCAGCCTAGCGCTAGGGCTTTCGCTCACCTGGGGGTCTAAGCTGACCTTTTCAAGACCCCTTCAGTGGGCGTGTCTTCAGACTTCCTGGGGCGGGGGCGGGGGTGAGAGTTGGGGCGGGCGAACGAGTGACCTAGGTCTCTTAGGGATTAAGGCAACAGGAATTACACCAGATTTTCATCTGTTGTAGCCCAGAGTTCTGGTTTGGGAAACCGAAGTTGTTGCCGGGCGGTGCTGTTTGGGACGAGCCTGATCTAGAAGGACCGAACTTCCTCGGGACTCACTCAAGGTCATTGTTCCTAGCAACGCGAGGACTGTGGGGAGTCGGTGCGCGCGCCGAAATCTTTAAGGTCAAGACTGCCTTTGTGTTTCCCGAGCAGTTAGTTCAAAGCCGGCCACGTGGGAAGGGCGCAGACTAAGTCCTTCCAAATCGAACTAAAACCAAAAGACAGGAGACAAAAGCACGGGCTCTTTCCCACTCCACGCCGATTCTACCCACGCTTGCAAGTTATTCTTACTCTCCCGGAGCGGGCGAGCTAAGGCCGGAGGGTGCAAAGTCGTGGCCAGGGAGGAGTTGGGGACCCGGTCGAATCCCCTAGTAACGTAGGGTGGGCGAGTGGGCGTGTGCGCAAGCACGTGCCCGCACGCAGGAGTGCCTTGGGGGGAGAAGGGAGTGGTCTCCAAAAGGGGGAGGGGAGAAAGCAGGGTGGGGCGGGGAGAAGCAGGCTTTTTAGGACCCGGCAGCGGCGAGGGAGGAGAAAGAAGGCAAGGAGGCGTCTCCCGCGCTCGCCAGGGCCGTGCCACCTGCCCGCTAGCTCGCCGCACTAACGCTGCCCACAAGCCAACATGCTGCAGAGACTGGGCGGCTCCGCGCTGCCTCTGCTCCTGCCGTCGCTGCTGCTGCTGCTGCTGCTGGGCGCCGGCGGCTGCGGCCCCGGGGTACGAGCCGAGGTGCTGTTCCGCTGCCCTCCCTGCACGCCGGAGCGACTGGCCGCCTGCGGACCCCCACCCGACGGGCCCTGCGCCGAGCTGGTGCGCGAGCCCGGCTGTGGCTGCTGCTCCGTGTGCGCACGGCTGGAGGGCGAAGCGTGCGGCGTCTACACCCCGCGCTGCGCCCAGACGCTACGCTGCTACCCGAACCCGGGCTCCGAGCTGCCCCTGCACACGCTGGTCATCGGCGCGGGTACCTGTGAAAAGAGTCGCGTGGGCGCCACCCCACAGCAGGTTGCAGGTAACGCGAGCTGTGAGCACTAGTGTGTGTGCGTGTTGGAGGGGAAGAGGGCAGGACTCGCAGCTCAGCGGGGTCTCCTGACTGGCGGCTCTCGCGTGGGGAAGGAGAGTCCGACGGGACCCTGGGACTACTGTAGACGAGAAAGAGCCCAGTCCTTGAGCAGATCCAGGGAGACTCTGGGGAGCGGGAACCGGAAAGACAGACCCGGGAAGGAGGCTGGAGGTGGACCTAGCGGGATTTGATGGGGTAAAGGAGCAGAGGAGAGACACCCTGTTACCACAGTCTTTCCTGGCGGGGCTTGGTGGGGAGGCGAGCGGTCAGATCTAGGAACTGCGGCGGGCGGGGGTGGGGTGGGGGTGGGGAGCGTGTAGGAACTTGAACCTCGTTTGGAACAACTTAAGTCAGTGACCACCGGTCTGATGCTCCCCGGTGGGAATGCTGCTGGCCACCGCGCGCAGGTGCCACCGCAGACCTCAGGTGAGAAGGGATCGAATGGAGGGACCCGTGCTTCCCTCTGGCACTGGGAGGTGAGGAGAGGGGTAAGGTTGCACGTGGAGAATGGAGCGAGCTGTGTAACTTAAGCCGGATGGCCAGCTGCATTCCGGCACCCTGGCAGTCGGGCTGTGCGGCTCAGCGCCTGGGCCTCAGGTCTGAGTGCTGGAGCCGCTTGGGAGTCGGAAAGCGACAACTTAACGTGGGTGTGTGTCACCACCCTACCGCCTCCTAAATCTAGGGAACCCCTCCTATCCCACAGGATGGGGAAGGTAGGGTTCTTTGTTAAAGAGACTTTCTTTCCAAAAAAAGTTAACTTGAAGGACACAAGACGGCTGTGGAGAAGTTCACTTTTTTTTTTTTTTTTTTTTTTTTCTTCATTACCAACTCCTCCTGCCACATCGGTCTGGAGAAATCTGTGACTGTTTTATTTCGTCTTGGGGACGGCGCTGAGTTGTGCCCCCTATTCGCTGATGTTTAAAAAGAGGCTTTAACTTAGCTTCTCAGAGTGGGGTAGCCAGGAGGTGTTTGTTAGGAAGAGAGAGAGAGAGAGGGAGAGAGGGAGAGAGAGAACAAACACTCTTGTTGGTTTTCGATTTCTTTGTGCGCTCCATTTTTTACCTTGGTCTGCTATCATACCCGCCCCAAAGGAGTTAGAGGTCAGAGTTTGAAGTTTCCAGTTCTTGGAGGCATTTTTGACCTTGACTACAGAGCAAGGTGGGACTTCCTCTGAGGGGACTCCAGGGGTTTCTTTCTTCTCTCTCAGCCTGCCTTGGGATTACTCTTTGCCTCTTGCTTCTCAGTAATAAAAGGAAGCCCTCTCCCCGTGCCTTCCCCTATCACCTTTGGGGTCCCAGAGTCATCTTCCTCAGCAGGGTATCCCAAGGCCTTGCAGAAGCCTTCGGATTTTGACCATTTTACTAAATCGGGGTGAACTTTCCTCCCATGATTTTCGTATCCCCCCCCCCCCGCCCCACCGCGTTTCATTGTTTTCATTCTAAGCCTGAAATATCCAGCCTTCCTGCTTCCCAAGACTCTGAAATAGGTTGGAGTCTTCTGCAGGCAACAGATGTGGCAGGTTTCCTGGGTCAGTTTTCCTTACAGGCTGCAGGGATGGGGGGTGGGGTGGGGCAAGGGGGGTTGTCAGGGGAGCCAGGGTACAATGGGGTGAGTTCATGGGAAGAATGTCACTCTGGATTTTCTGCCTGGTTATGGGACTCCCTCCTGCCAGCTCATCCCAGCTGCTGCCTGAGCCTTCTCCCAAGGTCCAGATGCCTCTTCCACATTTTTTCTCCTGTTCCCAGTCTAGAAGAGGGGACATTAACGAGGGTAGGGGGTGGGATGGGAGTGATGGCCGGAAGCTGAGTAGGTGCATTTGAAAGAAGAGTGGTCAACAGGACTTTCGGGGCCGTCAAAGGGGTCATTTGGGAAGGAGCTTGCTTTTGGAAGAGTGTCCGGAAGAAGGCAAAGATAGAAGCTTCTAGGCCTGAGGGAGAGGCTTTTGGGTTGGGGCTAGGACTAAAGACTCTGTATGAAGAATGTTGAAGTCTCAGTTGCGGGGAGGAGATATTACACACGGTTCAGACAGATCTTAGCAATGAGGGCTGCTTGCTGCCTGTCCACTGTCTTTTGCCCATCTCCTCCCTGCTCTGAGGGCTGAACACCCCTCCCCCCTCGGCCCAACAGCATTCCTCTTTGAGCAGGTTGCTTTTGAGAATTTTAAACATACCCTCTTATTTCCACGCAGCGCACCCCAGCAGTTCCGGCTTTGCTGTTAGCTCTTTTGTCTTTGTTCCCAGGGACTCAGGGACTGTATTGCTGGCTTCCTGGGGATGGCAGGAAGGCAGGGGGTGGGGGTGGGCATGTCAGTGGGTAGAAGTGACTGGTGGTGATCCTGCATCCCAAGGGGTGATGGGCTGGACCTTTTGGTTCATAGAAACAGAAATCAGACTGGCAAGGCCTGGAGGAAAAATGAAAACGGAACTCTGAGACCTGTCACAGGTCCATGCTTTATAAGAGTGTGGGAGGGAATGAGGCAGTAGAAGTACCTAAAAAAAATTTAGGGAGAAGTTGGGGAGGGATAGCTTGGGCCAGGCTAAACCCTTTCAGAATTCAGGCTGGTTCCTCAGAATCTCCCCAGTCTCCTGCCCTCCATTTCCCCCTCTGTTTCATACAATGCAGGGGATTATGCTGAGGGGTGGGGCTGCCCAAGTGGCCTTCTGGCCCTTAGCACATATAAAGGTGCTATAGAAATGTTCAGCCGGCCCGCTGGTAGGCGATGAGTGGGGAGGCCTGAATCTGCAGTTACAGGGCGATGGGGTAAGGAGGCAAGCCCTGATTTACAGTGGTTGGTTCACTTTGGCTTCCAGATTAAGGGGGAGAAAGCAAAGGGACTTCTGGCTCAGAGCACTGCTTTGCATCTCGTCTTGCATAAATTTGCATACCGAGTTCAAACTGGTAAACGACTCTGGAATGAGCGGGACCCACCGTCTCTGCCGATTCTTAGGGACACCTTCCACCTCTTTGCCCTGATTCTGGACAGTACTTGATCCAGCCTGGCTAAGCTGCTGCCCTTTGCTGACAGCCAGGGCAGGGTGAGGCGTGCGTTACTGCTCCGGGACACCTAGGGAATCTGCAGAGTTGGTTGGTTTGTGAGCTGAGTGGGGTGTGGCTCTGTGCACCCAGGCATCAGAGTCCAGGCAGTGGAGGGGACCGTGGAGGAACAGACTGTTGCTTGGCCCTGCCTAGGCCCAGGGGCTAGGATTGGAAGCGGCCTCAGGGTCAAGTCTTTGTTCCACGGTTACTCTTTACCTTCTACAAACGTCAGGAATGTTTCCTGAGTGGTTTCTTTTGTGTGGCAATGGTGACCCAGTTCCTTAAGAGATGGAAGGAAGCTTGAAGAAGCACAAATCCTGTGGGCTGGCAGATATCGTTCAGTGGGTAGTAAAGGTCATAAGCCGAACTTGATCCTGGGAACCCACGTAAAGATGGAAGGAGAGAAGCTGCTCTGTGAAGTTGCCCTTTGATGTTCATACATGTGCTGTGTGTGGCACGTGCTGTGGGCTCACCCTCCCACATCCACAATAATTCCTAATAATTTTTTTTTTTTTTAGAAAAACTTGCCGGGGCTGTGGTGAGGTGCACACCTTTTTTTTCCCCCCAGTACTTGGGAGACAGAGGTAGGAGGATCTCTGAGTTTGAGGCCAGGCTGGTCTACAGAGTGAGTTCCAGGACAGCCAAGGCTACACAAAGAAACCCTGTCTCCCACCCAGAACAAAACAAAACACACTTGTGTAGTAACATTAAAGATGCTATAATCTTAGAAAGGCCTTTTACAAACTAGGGCTAAGGATGCTTTGCGTTAGAACAGGTGGGAGAGCTGGGAGAAGGAACCCAGTGACTGTGAGGAGGGGAGGCCTCTCTGTGAAATAGCTCTCAGCCAGCTGGGACTGTTGAGCTTGCTAGTGAGCCAAAGGAAGAGGGATGCTGCTGTGGTTCTCACTGTCAGTCCACCTTACAGTATTCAGGCAAAGCATTTTCTAAATATCGGGGCAACTGAGTGACATTAATCCTATAAAAGTACTCTGGGGCTGATGAGATTTAAAAACACTTGCCATACAAGCCTGATGACTCAGGGTCAATCCTCAGAACGTACAGTGGAAGAAGAGAACCAGTTCTTTCAAATCGTATTCTAACCTCTAGAGCCATGCAGTGGTCAGTGTGCACCTGTGCTTTCACACTCTCCCCCCACCCCCAGTAATAGTAGTAGTAATAACAATAATGATGATGATGATGATGGGCCAACGAGATGGCTCAGTAGTTAAGAACACTGGCTGCCCTTCCAGGGGGCCTGAGTTCAATTCCCAGCAACCACATGGTGGCTCACAACCATCTATAATGGGATCCGATACCCTCTTCTGGTGTGCATGCATGCATCCAGATGGAGCACTCATATGTAAAGTACATAGATAAAAAAAATCTTTAGAAATATAATAAATGCCTTGGGTTACCTGGGAGCGCACGTCCATCCATCCACTCAGCGTCAGACGTTTACTCCGAGAAACCTCCCCATCAGATAAGCTTGTGGTTGGTTTCTCAGCCTGGCTCTTCTCTGCTTATAAAAAGTCAGACAAGTTGCTCTCAACAGCTGATAGGAGGTTCTGAAAGCTCTAGTGGAAAGGAGAAGGGGGTAAATTACACCTGGAAGGTAGGGCTGGTGCTGCTAAAGGGGCTGAAGGAGGGCAGAAACCTTTAGTTCCTTTGGTTGGGTCTTAGCTGTAGTCCCCTACCACTGTGCCCAGGGGCTGCATTTAGTGTTTGCCTTCTCTCTGTTTCCAGCTCTTTTTTCTTCTGGATTTATCCTGTCCTTGAAGTCTCTGTAGCCCCCACCCCCCCACCCCCAACACACACATGGTTGTCTCTTCCTGTCAGCTGGAATCCTTGACTCCATGCTAAGTAGGTAGACAGTGTTCAGAAAAAGTAGCATGCACAATCAGTCCCAGCCGTCT